CAAGCAAAGGGAAGACAGTAGTAAATCATTCATGTGGAATTCCAGAACTTCCACATGATTTACGCAAATAAGCCCCTTAAGGAGGGGAACATAACTGCCCACCCCTTTAGTCTGAGCTATGCACCGTGACTTTCTTGCAATGAGAACAGTGTAGAAAGGGGGAAGAGATGACCTGCAGCAACAAGCAAAAGGCACTGCATCAACTCAGCAGTTTCTGTGCAGAGAGGATGCAACCAAAAGAGTCCAGCAGCAACCTATAGAATGGGAGAAAATATTTGCAAACCATCCGTCATCTGGTAAGAGGTCCATATCCCCAGTATATAAGGAAGTGAACTCAAATGCAAGAAAACAAGTAATCCAGTTAAAAATAGGGAAAGACCCAAATAGACATTTCTCAAAAGAAGACGTGCAGATGGGTGACATATATATGAAAAAAGTTCAGTGTCATTCATCATTGGGGAAATGCTAAGGCGAACCGCAGTGAGCTGTCACTTCGCATCTGGTGGGATGGCTGTTATTGAAAAGGTAAGAAATCACAACTGGAGATAAGGGCATGGAGCAAAGTGAAGGAAACTCCTATTTTTGGTGGGAGTGTAAATTAATGCAGCTATTGTGGAAAATAGTATGGATGTTCCTCCAAAAATGAAATCTAGAACTACCATGCGATACAGCAACCCCAGTTCTGAGCATATATGAAAAGGAAATGAAATCAGTTTGTCCCAGATATATCAGCATTCCCGTGTTCATTTCTTCATTCAGAATAACCAAGTTAGGAAACCAACTTTTACATCTAACAGTGAATGAATGAATAAAGTACAGGGCAGTACATGTCTGCAATCCCAGCTCTTCAGGAGGATGAGGCAAGAGACTGCAAGGTCAAGGCCAGCTTGGCCAAGTTAGTGAGACCCTGTCTCAAGGTAAAATAAGCCATGTGTGATGGTGCATGCCTGTAATCCCAGCACTCTGGGAGGGCAGTACAGGGAAGGGCAAGTTCTAGTCCTGCCTGGGCAAACAAGTTAGACCTTATTTCAAAAATAGAAAGGACTTGGGATATAGCTCAGTAGGAAAATCTAGTACCACCAAAAATAAAATAATAATAATTTAAAAGACTTAGTTTCAATAGTAGAGTACTTGCCCAGCACACAAAAGGCCCTGGGTTCAAATCCTAGTACTGTAAAAAAAAAAAAAAGTGTCATGTGCACAATGGAATACTATTCAGCCTTTAAAAGACCGTTCTGTCACTGGCAATGGCATGGAAAAACCTGGAGTACATTTTGATAAATAAGTTAGGCACAGAAAGAAAACAGTGCATGATTTTATATATAGAATCTAAGAAAGCTAAACTAATGGAAACAACAGAATAATGGTTGCCAGGGGCTGGGAGTTGTGGCTAGGGGAAAATGTGGAGATTCTGGTTAAAGAGTACAAGTTTCAGCGAATGAGTTTGGGGACCTGTTGTACACCATGATGACTACAGTGACTAATGGAAACTTGAAGGTTGCTAAGAGAATAGATCTCAGACATTTTTATCACACACCTGAAACCTAAGGTTATAGATATATCAGTGAGCTTATTTTGATCATTTCAAAATATATACTTGTGTCAAAATATCATGTTTATGTTATAAACATATACAGTATTTGCCCCTTATTCCTTAATAAAACTGGAGGAAAATAAATATAGAAAAATTCATGTTGGTGTTATTTTCTGAGTTGTGACAAGTGCGCCCTTCTGTTGACTTCCCATGAAGTGTTCCCATTAAGCTCCAGGCTCTGTCCTTGTATTCATTCTCAATAAAAATGGGCCAGGTGGAGTTGTGCACTCCTGTATGCAGGAGGCTGAGGCAGAAGGATGGATCACTGTAAGTTGGAGGCCAGCCTGGGCTAAAGGGCCTGAGCTACATAGTGAAACCCTGTCTCAACAAACAAACAACAAAAAAAAACATTAAAATATGGAAACCTAAACAGAAAGGTAATATATTTCAGAGCCAGATCTGACTAATATTTGTGTTCTCCTTTAGTAAGAAGGAAACAGTAGGGGAAATCAGATGTGGGCTTATGGGAATCCTCTGTGTAGTTTTTGGAACTTTTGTAAAATTTAAAATTGCTCTAGAATTGTTTATTTTTTCAGAGGAATGTGGCTATGGAAAGAGTCTATGGCTCAGGGGTCATCTTGCTGAGCGCGGTGGCCAGGGTGGTAAGGTGCAAAGTGGGGCCCTGTGCTCTAAAGCCCTCCCGGTTTGCTTGCAGAATCAGAGGATGCTGTGTTCCTCCCTGTCCTCCTGTGGGATTCCCTGCCGGCGCGGCGTTCCATTCGCTTCTGCCCAGTAGCAGGCCCTTGAATGGCATTTGCTGTCCTAGTTAATCAGAGGAGAGGAGAAATGAAAAACTCTGCTCTTCCCCTCCCACGAGTGTCAGTGGGAGCCGGGAATGTAGGTCACATTGCATCACTGGAGGGCAGGCAGGAAGGTATTTAGGAATCACTGCACCAAGCGGGAGGAGGCTGTGGAGGCTGCAGTGCAGTCCCAGGATGCTGCATTCTGACCAGTGACAAGGAGGTCGCTGTGTCACCCCAGTGAGACAGCTTCCCCTGGCTTTCTTCATTCCACCCTCCCAGGCTTCTAGAACCTTCGATGGGCGCGTTTCTGCCACTCACAGCCATTTGGTGTGAGCGATGTTTGAACTGTAAAAACTTGCTGTGCACATGAAAATCGATCGTTTGGTAATTGTATAAGTCTAATAATGCCATCTGCAAACTACATATGATCATATGCTCAGTGACATTTCGATTAGCATACAGAAACCACAAAATGTGCTTTTTAATTTTTAAGTTGTGTTTAAAATATGCTGTTCTGTGGCTCTCTGTGTGGTTTTTTTTATTATTATTAAGTTTATTGGTAATTTAAAGCAAACAAGACAGTTACATTTCTCATTGGGATCTTGTACCTTTACATGATAGATCTTGGTTCTTGTGCTCTCTGTTTTTAATGGCAAAACATTACAGACTTTAAGGTATAAGAAGTCTTTAGATATACAGTTTTATGTCTTTTATACTGTGTGCTACCTGCTCCTTGGTAAGACATGCAGATATTGCCTGCCAGAATATCCTATGTTTGGACCCTGTCTTGAATAGGAAGCATTCTGTCAGCAAAACCAACTCTAAAACTTACTGTAGTTCCACTCTCTTTACCTAGATGAGAAAATCAGCTGGGGATTTAACTCAGTGGTTCCGCCACCTGCCTTGCAAGCACAAGGATCTGAGTTTGATCCCCAGTACCAAAAACAAAAAGAAAGAAAATCAGTGTTTCTCACAAGTGTAAGGTCCTGAGTTTGATCCTCCACCCCCAAAAAAAAAGAAAAAGAAAAAGAAAAGAAAATCAGTGTTACCCAGGTATAGTAGCACACGCCTGTAATCCCAGCACTTAGGAGGCTGAGGCAGAAGGATTGCTGTGAGTTTGAGGCCAGCCTAGGCTACAAAGCAAGACCATGTCTCAAAAAAAACAAAACAAAACAAAAAACAGAAACAAATGAACAAGGTAATCATGCTTAGGCTGGGCATGTAATGCTGATAATGCCAGCACTTGGTACGCTGAGGCAAGAGGAGAACAAATTCAGGCCAGCTTAGGCAACCTGATGTTTTATTTTCTTGAAATAAAAAAAAAAAGGGTCAGGGGACACTAAGGATTGTAGCTCAGTATAAAGGCCCTGGGTTCAATACCTAGAACAAAAAAAGTCAGAATTTTAAACACGTTTTGTATAATTTAACCTTAAAAATGGAATAGATTATTCTATAAAACATTTATAATTCAACATACTGTCCTTTTACCTGTTTAACTTTTTATTTTGAGACAATTGTGGGTTCACAGGAAGTTGTTTGTAAAGATATTCCTGGGGGATCCTGGTAACCCTTTTTCCTTTTTGAGGCAGAGTATCACTGTGTAGCTTAGACTGGTCTCAAATTTGAGATAATCCTCCTGCCTCAGCCTCCTGAGTGCTAGGATTATGGGTATGGTGACTTTTCACCCAGTTCCTCCCATTAACTATATCTTACCTGACTATAGTATAGCATCAAACCCAGGAGGCTGACATTGGTATAAAATCTGTGTGTAGTTCTGTTTTACTACGTGGACATTTTTCATATATTATAACTATGACCACAATCAAGATGTAGCAGTGTTCTACCCCTGAAAAAATCTCCGTTGTTTTACACTTTATAACTGCTCACTCCTGTTAACCTTCACAGCACCTCCTGCAACCACTAATCTGTTCTCCAACTTTGTCATTTTGTCATTTTGGGAATGTTACATAACTACAATATTTTGAGGTTACCTTTTTTTAACCTCAGTACTATTTTTTTAAAGAATTTTATTTTTAAAAGTATGTATTTTTTGCTTTTGCTTTTTCTTTGAGATAGGGACTCCCTATGTAGTTCAGGCTGGTATTGAACTCATGGCCACCTTCCTGCCTCAGCCTCCCAAGTGCTGGTATTGCAGGGGTGCACCACCAGGCCGACTAAAAGCATATGTATCATAAAAAAAGAAAGAATATTCATTTTAACAAGTTGTTACCCAGAGTTGACTCTTTAATTTTTGAGACCATATTCCTCTAGCTTGGGTGTAACAGAATCTTCACTGCTGTCTTTGAGTAGCATCTCAAATTGAACAGGCCAATGTAATACTTGGCCAATTATGTCTGTGTCTTACTCCCTGCTGCTCGGGGTGATACCCTAAAGTTCAGTGGAAGTCACCCGGGGAAGTCCCCCAACCAGAGTCCTAGGCTGGACCGGGAGCAGGAAGATGCCAGGATGGAGGCAGGCGTGTGTCACACACCTGTCATCCCAGCAGTCTGGGAGGCTGAGGCAGGAGACGGAAAGTTCAACTCCAGCCTGGGCAGTTTAGCACCTTAGCAAGACTTTGTCTCAGAATCAGAAAGGGATGAAGATACAGCTCAGTGCAAAGACCTGGGTTCATCCTTCGGTACTGCCGGAAACAAAACTTCCAAATGTATACTTTATTTAATTGTACCAAATAAAATATGATCACATTTGTATTCCATTTAGAGAGAACTTTAACGGAAACCGCTGGAAGATGACATTTAAATGAGCAGTAGTTGAAGTATTTACGTTAACAAAGATTATGTCACAGAATCACCGGATGTGGTTCGCGTAAAATGTCGTCATGTGAAGACGGGTGTCCGGTAGGACGTGGACTTCCAAGGTCGGGAGGGCTGGAAGCAGGCAGCCACCCAGGAGCGCTTCCTCCTCAGAGGGCCGGCGCAGTGCAGGTCTGCGGGTGGGCCCAGCACATCGGGGACACCGGGGACACCGGGGCACGAGCAGAGGTGAGGGTGGGCTTGAGCCCCCTCAGCTCGGGCTCGGTCCCTGAAGGTTGGGTCAGGACAGATTTCGGTCAGTGGGATAATCTCAGAACCGGCCATTGATTTTTCACCGGCTTCGGCTTCTCACATTTTAGAAGGGCTTCCTCCCAGTTAGGAAACTGCTCTGTAATCAGTGTCATCCTGTACTCTGTACTTACTGGCCTCGTGTTTTTCTGTCCACACCAGTGTTTTGTTGGAGCGGCGTAGTGATTGTACTGAAGTAACTATTGGGACGCAGAAGGGAAGCCATCTTTACGGGCTGCGGACCGTTTGCCAGGGCTTACATCTGGGTTTCCCCAGCCCGGCACTCCGGCGGGGCTTCCAGAGGTGACTGGTCATGGGGGCCGTGCCTGGATTGCTGTTAGGAGGTCTAAATGAGCCAGGCCCTAGCCTGGAAGGGTTTCTCTCCCTTCTGGTTCCTCGCTTACTTTCTCTGCTTCCTGTCTGCCCTGAAGCGAGTAACTTTCTTCTCCCAGACCCTCCACCACCCCCTTCTCCCTGGGCCAGCTGACTGTGCGCGGGCAGAAACCTCTGGACTGTGAGCCAAATAAGCATCTCCTCTTCTAAGTCACTGGTGTTGGGTATTTTGTCCCAGGGATGAGGAAAGTGACTGAGACAGCCAGTCACTGCTGAGTCTGTGTGAATTCACACGTGCGTGCAGTTACAGTGATGAGAAACTGCAGTAAGGGCATGGCCAAGTGACAGGTCCAAAGTAAATGCCATGCAGTGTGACTCTTTTAGCAAGTATGCTGATCTTGGTCAGGTTTACTACTTAGGAAGCCTGTTGCAAGGCCTCTCATGATGCATGGATGTGTATATGTTTGTGTGTATGTGTGTGTCTGAGACTTAAAGAATATACTTACGATGGGGCCGGGGATTTAGCTCAGCAGTTCGGTGGCCTGCCTTGCAAGCGCAAGGACCCAAGTTCAATCCCTGTACCAAAAAAAAAAAAAAAAAAAAAAAAAGAAAAGAAAAGAAAAGAAAAGAATATACTTACGAAAAGAATATATCACAAAAATGCATTTATGTCACTTACTATGTCACTTATTATGTCACTTAGTTTGTATCTTTATGAGGCAATATGTGAAATTATATGGAATATACAGTTGTAAGATCCCACTCTTCTTTCTAGCTTTTTATCAGAAGAAAGGGAGTTAAGTATCACTTTAACATATTTCTGGAGAATATGACATATACCCTGCTTTAAAATTTGGGGATGTAGTTTTTCATTTTGGGGGAGAGACTTAGAAAAACAGTGCTGGCTCAGCAGTGCAGCCAGGTGGAAAAGGACACGTGCCCACTGACCAGGCCGCCTGGGCACAGCTTCTGCCTCGAGTCCCCTGCAGGAGAGCCGGCCCTGCGCCAGAGCTCTAGTCTCTTCCAGAGAAACCAGGAATTGGGAATGTTATGTGAATTTTCTTTGTTTTTAAATATTAGCAACAGGGCCTGGGATGTAGCTCAGTGGTGCCACTGCTTGCCTCACAAGTGCAAAGTCCCGAGTTCTATCCCAGGTACAAAAAGAAAAAAATATATATATAAGCAACAAATTCATATTTTCCCCCCAGGATCACCATGGAGAAGAGAACAAAGCAAAGTGTACTATTCTAGGCACACAGGCCCTGTGTTCGGCCTGGAAGCGTGGGGAGAAGGCCCGGCCTGTGAAGTAAGGTGTAGGGCAGAGAAGGTGGATTAGACTTGGCCTCCACATTTTGTCCCAGCTCAGTAGGCACTTGGGAAAACTTCTTAGCTTTCAGGCTTCTTGTGGGTGGAATGGAGAGCTTGGAGTCCGCCTTCCAGGTTTCAGTTTTTCTTCAGTCCGGGCAGAGTGAAGTCGGAACATTGCGCTCCCTGTAGGCCCGGCTGCACAGCTCTCCTTCCTTCCTGCTGCCTGAGAACTTGGAGCCCTGCTCCCACCCTGAAGTTAAGAAGGCTTAAGAAATGAGAAGAAATTTCACACTGTCCCACTCCAGGATAAAGCTTTTTCTTCCTTCATCGCAGTTTGTAGGTCTTTTGAGTTTTTAATTGGTTTTGTGGAATTGGTGATTGGATCCAGGACCTCCCACACTGAACTTCATCCATGGCTGTGTTTTAAAACGTTTATTTTGAGACAATCTTGGTAAATTGCTGAGTTTCCCTGCCTCAGCCTCCCAAAGTACTGGGATCGTAAGTGTATGCTGTAGTTTTGACAGCGTTATGTAACAAAAGATGATACAGATATGGCTTAACTTACACAAGGCTCTTAGCAATTTAAAAGGACATAGAGATGTTGCTCTTACAAAATAAGCCATCTTTCCAGTAAAAGTCAATACATCACTGTCAGTATAACAGTAGGTGGGGGCTTTCTCTGCTTAAAGCAAATAAAGGGATATTTCTTAATCCCTGAGTGTTCTCAAGGGTCTTATTTATTTTTTTATTATTGTTTTGCTGCCTTTTGGTGTTTTACGACAGGGTCTCATTGTGTAGTTCAGGCTGGTCTTGAACTCACTGCAATCCTCCTGCCTCATCCTCCCAAGTTCTGGATTAATCGGGATCAGCCACAATGCCTGGCCTGCATTGTGTTCTTTCATAACAAAATCTGGTGGACGCCTGCTTTTTTCCATTTCAAATATTTATTTTTATTAGTACATTCTTGCAGTATGTAATTTCATTCATCATGGGAAATTGGTACATATACATAGCCGCTTTTTAAAATATAAAATGTATGGGCCTGGATCCAGATGTGGTGGTGCATGCCTGTAATTCGAGCACTCTGGGAGGCCGGAGCTGGAGGATTCCAAATTAGACCCCAGCCTGGACACTTTAGCAAGACCCTATCTCAAAATTTTATTATTTATTTATCTATTTATTTTGGTACCGGGAATCAAACTCGGATCCTTGCGCTTGTGAGACAGGTGGCGGTACCACTGAGCTAAATTCCTGGCTCAAAATTTTAAAAAGGGGGAGGAGGACTGGGGAAGCTCGGTGCCAAGGCCCTGAGTTCAACCCCCAGTACTGCCCAAAGAAAAACTGAAAAGAAACAAGAGGTGCATCTGCCCTGGGGATGCTCTAGAACCTCTGCTCAGGAAGTGCTTTGGGTGTCTGGGGACTGAGCAAAAGCGCCTTTCACCCCTCGCAGACTTTCCCACTCTGTCCCTGGGTTGGGCTGACTCAGACTCACTCTCTTGTAGCACATTCTTCTCTGCTGACTGTTTCTTCCTATAGGGTGGACTTTGGAAACCTGTGGCACAAACAGGACTTAGCGTGGGGGTTGGAACTGCGTACTAAGGGGACAGGGCAGCACCTCCAAGAGGAAGATGTCTCCTGCACCCTCCTCCTGCCTGTACTTCTCAGGACGTAGGAGAACTGTTAAACTCTGACCCTTTTTACTATTTCTTTTCTTTCCTGCCTCTAACTGATCATCATTTAAAATAACTTATTAAAAATTATACATACTGAAGCCAGGAATGGTTGTGTATGCCTGTAATCCCAACACTTGGGAGGCTAAGGCAGGAGGAGTACCATGAGTTCCACGCCAGCCTAGGCTGTACAGCGAGTCCACGGCCAGTCTGATCTACACAGTGACACCCTGTCTCAACCCCCCCACAAAGTATACTTACTGAATGCTTGCTACATAGTATTGAATGAGAGATGAAGTACAAATAAATTAATGAAATAACGCTAAGAAAATCTTCCCAGTATATCTTCAACTATTTCTGTCTCTTTGTAAAACAAAATAAAGTTGCTGGTTAGGCAGTTTCATGCATTGGAAAGGGAACTAAGGTCTGGATTCTAGCTCCAACTTCAAACTATTTCTTTCTAGGTCATCTGGAGCAAATTATGACCTTTTAGTCTTTTCTGCGCATGTAAAATGGAGATCACAACAGAGTTTTCTGAAGATCAAATGACAAAATGTATACAAGAATATGACATTTTTTTCCTAGTAAAGACCTCTGACCTCTAAGTAGAGACATTCTTGCTTTTTAAATACCTATTTTTAGTAATTGCCACTACCGTTTTTCTCTAAGAACAGAGTTTCCTTTAAAGCATATTTAAAGTATATTGACTGGTAGATGGGAAATTCTTTCGAAGCCAAGACTGTTGGAGATTTCACATGGATCCAGCAGCTGGTGACTTCCTTGGGTACCTTGGAGAAGGAGCAGGAATGTGTGATAGAAAGCTGGGCATGGCTTCTCCTAGGGAATCAGACCAAGGAGAGCCCAACCTGGTGCCCTCCTGGCTCACCTCCAGCCTGCTTTGAGGGCAGCCCTGCTGGAAGCAAAAGAGCATCTCAGCCTTCCATCTGCATCGCTCATACTGTTGTGGTACTGTGTAGCTTGGTGTCAGTGATTTTTGCATGTCTAAAGGATTTAGGCTGCGGAAGAATGAATTTTGGCTGAAGACAGACTTCTTACACAATATACTTTTACCAGAAGGCAGAAAAGGACACTAAAATGGAAATAAGAGAAAAATTTAAGGATAGGCAAGTTAGAAACCTGGAGAAGAGAAACATCTGACTTATAAGAATGATTTTAAGCATTACTGGGTAACATTCTGTGGGTGAATAAAACAAACTTTTTAAAGAGGGAGAGGGGAAATATATGATCCAGGAATCATTTAAAAGCCATTAAAGATAACTATGAATACATGTACAAAACATGGTGTAAAACTTCAGGCATTGACTTTCAGATGTGTTTTATAGTATCGTAGGTTCTTAAGCCATAGAAATATTTGGATTGCCATCTCCGTATTTGAAAATACAAGGGGAGTGAAATAACATTCTTACCACCACCCTTGCTGTGTGCCCACATACAGCCTGTGGAGACTCTAGGAAGAGGACTGTGTTCGGTGGATTTTCCATAGGAAATCAGCCTGCCCTGTGATTAAACTTTGACAGCGTCTGCCCTGAAGCTGTTTTGTCGCCTGTATGTGCTGCTCTCTCTCCTGTTTGTCAAAGCTGAAAACTAGCTTAATTTCTCCCTCTGCTTCGTTCCTCTCCAGTCCTTTGACTCCTTTCCTCCCTGTTCTTTCCCAAATTAAAATAGCACCCACATTTTACCCAAAACGCTTATATGTACATGTGTCCAGATGTACACAACATAGCGTGTGTACACAACTATGACGGCAGTAGAGTGCATCGTTTTAGGAAGATGGCTTAATTGAGGTTTCGTTTCTTGAGTCAAGAGTTAAAAATTATTGTCTTAGTTACTTTTCTTGTTGCTGAGAAAAAATACCCAACACCCAGAGTTGAAGGAGGAAAGTTTTTTTTTGGCTTATAGTTCACAGAGGTTTCAGTCCATAGCTGGCTGTCTCCAAGGCAGAGTGGCACATGGAAGAGAGGCATGGCAGAGGAGAACCAGTGCACGGTGGCCAGAAGACAGCAAAAGCAAGCCCGCAAAGTCTTTCTGATCTTTTTGTCTTATCAAGACGCCTTAGAGCAGGCAGCACTCACACCCTTAATCCTAGTGTCCTTGAGCCTAGCAGTGCACCATGAATCAGTCCCACACTCTAGATTCAGCCACCTCTGGGAAAGCCCCACTTATGACCGCGTGAGGCTTTGGGGCACGTCTAGTCACAGTAGATAATAGAGGGGACTGGTAAATAATAAAGGGGAGCAAACTCAATATTCTTATTTAGTATGTGCATGTTTTAAAACCTGTGATTCTGACAGGCTTCATAGGATCAGGCTTTCTAAATACTGTAGCTATTTTGAACGTTAAGCAAAGACTCACTAGGGCAAATTACACACCATAATTTTTAAGCCCCAGGAGGCTGAGTCTATGTATTTATTGAGTAGTCATTTGTTCTTAGTTTATTGTAAATATAGCCAGTTAAATTCATTATTTAGAAGAATGAATTGCATTTATTGCAGAATTGGTAAAGTGCCTTGAATTTTAAGTTTTATGTCTCAAAGCACATGCCACAGTTTTGGAACATCTAACTACGTAAGAGTTTAGGTTTAGATTTCTGATTTACTTTATCCACTATTTCATCCTCTTTCCTTTTTTTTTTTTTTCCTTTAATCTGAACAGAATTAAGAAGAAAGAGCTTCCACAATCACAGCAAATGAAGATCCCCTGGTAAAGAGATTGGGAATTTTGGCCTGCCCTCCAAAGAAAAGGTAACTGGGCACTCAGCACAGCTGAGTAAATACAATATTTCTGATTCTAATACTTGGAGTTTTACCCAAAGATGATAGTTTTTAAGATATCTGCTTAAGATCTTATCTTTTAAGCATAACCCTGAATATGATCTTCCTAATGTAAAATAACTTGGGGCCGGGGATGTAGCTCAGCAGTACAGTGCCTGCCTGGCAAGCACAAGGCCCTGAGTTCGATTCCCCGTGCAAAAAATAAAATAAAATAAAATAACAGTGAATTTAAGGTTATGACATTATCAGATTTTTTTTCTCAAAACTGCTACATAATACCTTCTCCCCCAACACACATTTATTACAATGGAAGAATTCCCGCTCTTTTCCATTGATAGCCACCCCGCCAGTCTGCTCTTTTCCCCCAGGGCCATGTCCTCTCCTCATGTTTTCTTCTTTCCCCACATGATGTAGACCCAGTTGCTCAGCTGCTCAGAGCAAGTAAGATCGTAAGCGACACTGTGCAACCGGGAGGGGTTCTTCAGGCACCTTTTTGGGCTGGAGCCTTTGCCCAGGCTGTGGAACAGCTCTTTGTTTATGAACCGTCACAGGTCATTACAGAAACCACTGGTGATGGGGTTTCTTACTACAAGTTTGCCATTGTGCATTTATTGTTTGGGGAAGAGAATGGCAAAATTTCACAGAATATGAATAAGGGCAAACATTCCTGGAAGAGTTTGGTTTAAAAAAAAATCGTGCTTCTATCCACTCCCCAAAGGAATGAGGGGGCTTACAAGTTAAGATGTAATTTAAGATGAGTCACTGAAGGATAAAACTGAACAGAATTCAAACAGGAAAGACCAAAGGAATTTCAGTCCCTGGGATTGATCAGTTTACATACTTAGGCAACAAATGTGATGCCTCAGACAGCAACTGCAGCAAAATGGAGACATTTTGTACAACTTGTGCCCTTCATTTGAAAGAACATTTTTACCATTACCACACCAAAAACTCAAGCTCAGGGAAAGATAGGGCAGTTTTGTTTAAGTGTTTAAAAGAACAAAGGGCCGGGCATGGTGGCACACTGGTGAGATCCAGGTGACTCTGGACACTGAGGCAGGAGGATCATGAGTTACAGGCCAGCCTGGGCAATTTAGTAAGACTGTTTCAAAAGTAAAAAATAAAAAGGACTGGAATGCAGACTAGGGCTAGAGTGTTTGCCCAGCATGTACAAAGTCGTGGGTTCAGTCTCTGTGGGGTGGGCGCAGGTATCTGGGCAGCTGTGAAGTCTCCACCTTCAAAATAGGGCCTTACATTTTTTTCTGGACTAAAGCTGAAGAGCCAGCCATGCAGAGGTGCCCTTTAGAGGTCATCAGAGTCACCTCAGTGAGCGGTGTTCATTGTGGAACATATGCCAGGGGCAGAAAGAGAGAAGCCGGGCCTTCCTGTGCAGTGGTCAGCCCTGGCTGCAGTGGGGTCTAAGGAGACCACACACACACACACACACACACACACACACACACACACACGCACACACACGTTTGACAGAACACCATAGGAGTACTCTATTCCAGAAGCATTGTGCAGATTCTGCGATGCAGGAGGGGATTATCCCTGGAGCAAAAGGAAAAGAGCAGGGGGTAATTTCCATGGACTGTAACTTTAACTTGGGCTTTTTGAGTATCATACTAATGAAATGATTAATATGATAGCAGGAAGTAAATGACAAGGGGCAGGGAAAGAAGAGTCACAAGTTCAGTGTTCTGCAGGCAAGGAGAGGAGTGAGATGGGCCAGGTACAACTGAGAAACTGCCAAGGCCATAGTGGCAGCTCTTCTCAGTGCTGATGGATCACAGTGGCCCAGTGCCTGTCATCCAGGAACCCTTTATTCAGTGCAACGTACGTGCTGTGTTCCTTTCAGGGCATTGGGGAATAGATGAGTAAAGCAAAACGATGAAAGTCCCTACCATTGAATTTGCTGTTTTTGTTTGTTTGTTTTGAGGCAGGGTCTCGCTATGTAGCTTAGGTGGCCTTGTACTCACTACGTAGCCTGGGCTGGCCTCAGAATCATGGCGATCCTCCTGCCTCAGTGTCCTGAGTGCTGGGATGGTGGCGTGCACCACCATACCCAGCACATTGGCACTTATTTTTTTAACTGCCAAAAAGTACAAGTATCCACCATGTGCAGCATGTTGTTTTGAAATATGTATACACTATAGAATGGTGAAATTGAGCTAACTAGCACACCCCACATACGAAATCACTTTTTTGTGATGAAAACATTTAAGATCTACTGTGTTGGCAGGTTTCAGTACACATGGTTTGTACACTTTGACACCGTATCCAGTAGTTAAGGTGGAACAGTGTCCTGCGGTGTGATGTGCCGCTCCTCCTCTGGCCAGACACGTAGGCAGGCTGACCAGCTTGGCTGAGCACAGGCAGCCCTTCACCGGGGCTGTTCCCTGCAGGTGTGCACATGCAGACTGCCGGGGCATATGCAAATTCCCGGTGGTCTTCTGTTGTTCTCAGCCGTGGTCACAGCACACTTACCTTTCCTTGTAGAGAAAGGGGTATATAATAGACAGCAAGTACAAGTAAATACGATGTTACGGAAGGTAATGATTATTGTTCAGAAAAAGTCGAGCAGGATAAGAATTGGGAGGGCTGCTGAGAGCTGGGGCCTGAGGGTTTCAGTGGCCGTGATGAGAGCAGGACTGAGAAAGCGAAAGTTGAGCGGTAGGCATGAGAGACCCAGCCCTGAGCTGTCCGGGACGGAGCAAGCAGCCCATGCGGAGGCCTGAAGCTGAGGTCTTTGTGATCTGTGACAGCAGCGGAAAGGGGGAGCCAGATCCGAGGGAAGAACTGGGAGAAAATGGTGGGAAAGGACAGCGGACAGGCTGCACGGCCTCATGGGTGACGGAACAGGCCGCGGCCTTTATTCTGAGGTCTCAACAGGAGGACTTTCTTGCTCTGGCTTCTGTTGTAATAAATCACTGAGGCCACTAGAGTAAGACAGCCTATGGGGACAAGGTAAAGGCAGTAAGACCAGTTAAACTGTGGCTGTTGGAATAACCCAGGCAAAAAGGTAACGACAGTGCCAAAAATGTTAAGGAAATTGAAATCTGGACTTCAGCGAATTCTTTTAAACTTTTATATGCTAATCATTTTAAGCAAAGAACAACCTAAGTTAGGTTGTGGAACTTTGATGTGTGCTGATAGTTTGCTGCCTCAGCCAAAGAGCTATGGATTCCAGAGAAAGGTGAGTGCTTTAAGCCAAGCTAAATTGGGGAAGAGTTGATTTGATACTGAAATGAAAGCTTGTTTTTGGTCTAAGACAGGTAAGAGACAGTGTGCAGCTCTCCATAGCAGTCGAACATGGAAACCACCACCAACTGCCACCAGCTGCTGACTGGCTACATAAAGGGTGGTACAGTGCCTCACCCAAGGGGATGGCCCGGGGCTCCAGCGGGTGTCTGAGACTCCTCCGTTTCCTCCTGTACATACACGTAAACCTAGAGTGATGTCTTACTTGTTAACTAGGCACAATAAGATTACCAACAAAAATAAAGAAGTTACCGCTAACTTTATTCTGTAATAGAATAAACTACAACTGCAAGAGATATTTCTCAAAATATCTTACACTATTTTACTTTTTTTTGAGACAGGGTCTCCCTATGAAGGTCAGGCTGGCCTTGAACACAACTACGTTGCCCATGCTGGCCTCAAACTCACAGTGATCCTCCTGCCTCGACCTCTCATGAGTGCTGGGATCACAGGTATGTGGCACCATGCCCGGTTCAGTCACCTTCTGTGATGAGCAAGCTCTGCCTGTGGGATGGGGTGCACAGGTATGGGGGCGCACGCCTGTGATCCCAGCACTTGGGAGCAGAGGCAGGAGGATCGCCTCAAGTTTGAGGCCAGCCTGGGCTACATAGTGAGTTCAAGGCCAGCCTGAACTACAAAATGAGACCCTGTCTTAAAAACACCAATAAAATAAAATAAGGTAATAAAGTAGGCGCCCGCATGGCTGTAGTGACACAGTGCTTGGCTGCACGCGACAGCTCCTTGGGCACCAGCCTGCAGTGCCGTGACAGGCAGTCTGGCGACGGGGCCAGCCTGTAAGTGGCGGAGTAAAGCGTGCAGTGCCGGTGCACCAGGCGGAGGAGGGCTCCCCTCCCAGGCAGGCTGGAGTGGGACCGCAGGAGATTCAGTCCTGCACCTCAGAAAATACGCAATTTGAAATTTTAGCTTCATTTCTAGAATTTTCCATTTAGTATTTTCAGACCAAAGTTGACCACCAGTAATTAAAACGACAGAGAGTGAAACTGTGGATAATAAGGGCCTACTGTATTATCCAGCCATAAAAAGGAAGGACATCCAACATGGGTGAACCTTGAAAGCTTGCTAATTGAAAGAAGGTAGGCGTGAAAGGCCACGCAGTGTAGGATTTTGCACAGGGCCGAGGGAGGATCCGAGAATGACTGCCAGTGAGCGCCGAGCTCCTTGGAGCTCGACAGCGCTCTTGACTGTACCACACTGTGAGCAGACTAGAATGGCATTAAAATGGTGAATTCTATTGTATGTGGATTTTACCTCTATCAACAAGAAGAAAGAAAAGGGCACTCAGTCATCTTTCATGGTATAAATTTGTGTCTTGGACACAAGTGGCTGGTCTGGCTGGAGCAGTCTCAGGGAGGAGGTTGGTCCAGAGAGCAAGAGATGTGGCCTCCAGGCAAGGGGGTGCCGCCCTGCGGCGTGCACTCTGCTGTGAAGAGCAGTCTGGATGATGGGTGGCTGCTGACTGCACGCCGAGGAGTGGCTGTGGATGTCTCAGCCTGTGACACTGTATCCACTCACCAGAGCTTTGTGACGGTCTTCCAGAAGGGTTTTTGTTGGTACTGGGGATCAAACTCAGGACCTTGCACTTGGAAGGCAGGGCTAGTGCCGCTGAACTACATCCCCAGCCCCCAGACGTTTTAACCTAGAGTTTCTTCTTCTTTTATAAAGTATCCTTATGTTAGTTTCTGATT